GCAGCGGCCACTGCAGCTGCTATTGAGGATGAGGCCGTCGAGGAGGACAGTGACTGAAGCACATTGTTCAGATGTTGTTGCTGCTGCTGCTGCTGCTGCTGTTGCTGGTGATGGTGACCACCATTACTGAGCGGAGGTGGTCCTGTTTGCTGTTGCTGCAGCAGACGAAGAATCGGCTGCCCTGTTGACGTCGAAGGCGAGGGGCTGTTGTGCGTTTTCATGTGCTGCTTCAGATTGTCATTGCGCTTAAAGTCCGCCTCGCAGAGGCCACACTTGAAGGGGCGGGCGTTGCTGTGCGTGCCCATGTGCGCCTGCAGGTTGTAGTTCTTGGTGAAGCTCATCGCACACAGCGGACACTGGTACTTGCGAATGCCATTGTGGATGAGCATGTGCTCGTTGAGGCAGCTCTTTCGGCTGAAGCGCTTTCCACACACCTCACACGGGTACTTCTTCTCCAGGTCACTGTCGCCGTTGTTCGCCGATGATGCTGAGGCTGAAGCTGCTGCTGCCTCCTTCTTTCCATTTCGGCGGCCATGCTTCTCTCCTTTGTTTCCTTCCGGCAGGTGGGCGGGCACCGTCTTTGTCTGGTGAATTCGCTTCCGGTGATCCACCAGATCAGCGTACGTCTTGAAGAATGAGTTGCACAGGTGGCAGCGGTTGTGGATGCACTGGTAGTGCTCGTACAGGTCCGCCAGACTGCTGTAGCCCTTTGAGCAGATGCTGCACTGGTACTGGTACTTCAGGTCATTCGGGTGAGCTGTGGTCTTCAGGCTAACTGGCTCGTGTTTGCTTGAAGCTGCTGCTGCTGGTGGCAGCAGTTTGCTAGCAGCCTGGTAGTTCTGCAGCTGAAATTGGTACTGGTCTAGTGAGAAGTTGATGAGTTGTGAGGCGGTTGTGGTGGCTATGGGAAGGGCATTGTTTTGGTTCAGCGAGTTCTGGTCGGCGACACTGCCGTTTTTGGGTGAACGCGTACACCGTTCATACTTTAGGTGCGTTTTGAGAGAGCTATTTTTGGTAAATGTCCTCGAACAGTTCGGGCACTGGTGGGACGTCTGCTGCTGTTGCTGCTGCTGCTGTGGCTGTTGCTGCTGAAGATGACTGTTGAGTACTCCATTTGAGGGGTATAGTTGTACGTGGTTGGTTGGAAAGGCAGGTATTGATGAGACTACTCCTGCTGCCGCTACCGATGAAGATGAGGAAGGGAAGACGAGGGTCTGAGGGTTAAGCGACTGAGCATCCATGCTTTGGTGGCCTGCTGCGGTCTGCTGCTGCTGACAGACGCGAGCTTTTAGGTGATTTTTAAGTGAGCTTTTTCGGGTGAATGTCTTCAGGCAGTGTCGACACTGGCGGTCCGGTGAGGCCGAGTGAACGTTTAGATGCTCCAAAAGGTCCTTCTCCTGGGTGAACACACTGGGACACTCATTACACTGGTAGATGACACTGCGAGGAATCGTTTGGTGCTTTGGTGCCAGGCCGTTCAGTTCATTGACGGGGTGAAGATACATTGGCCGCTGGTGCCGTTGGCTGCAGCGGAAGACAGCGATGAAAGTGGTTGCGCTAAGACTGACAGTGAGTTTTTTGCTTGAAAAAGGTAATCATTAGTGAAAAGAGCGCCACTTTGACAACAGAAATCAGCTTACCAAATTCATTCAGGCCAGATCTTCGAGCGAGGCCCATCCCCTATAAATGGCCTTTGTGTACTCCTACTGGTCGCTTGAAAAATGCTTCGCTGGTTAGTGCTGTGTTGTTCTCCCCCTTAGCTGGTGGTGGTGATGGTCACTCGAACACACAACAGAGAGAGGTAAACACAACAGACAAAAGTGGCGTCAATCTCAGCCTACTCAGCACACAAAAGAGCCATGTGAGAGGTAGAGAGACAACAGCATTCGGATGGCACACTTTGATCTGCCTCTGAGGTATTCAGAAAGTTTCAGCCTCTTTCTTCAGCCTGCATCCAAACGAATCTGAACTCCCTTGAGCTGCAGCTGCTGCACATTGCCGCATCCTTTTGCGGCAGCTGTTGTTCTTTCGTAGACTCAGGGGCAGAGCGTCCCCTCAAATGTTGCCTTTCCTGCGCCAGTGTTCCAGTGGACTTTTTTCGGTGCATTTACCTCAAAAACCACTTAAAGGATCAAGATAAAATAAAAAGTAAATCGAAGGTTAGAAGTTTACCTTTAATCTTACTGGACTCTTGTAAGCCAAGGTTCTCTGAATTTACAATAGTCGCAATGAAATATTAAGCTACTGCGTTTTACTATTGAGTTACTTAAGAAAAAAGTTTGGCAGCTAAACAAAAGTTCATTAAAGTAAAAGTAAAACTTTGAGACTTTTGTTTACCTTTTACATCATTCAAATCTGTTTTGTAATTCTTGAAATAAACGTACCTGAAGACGTCCAGAAAGTCCCATTGAAATGCACAGGTGATGAAGCATCCGAATTTACCGAATCACATCTCCCCTTCACTCATGCGCACTACGACGATTGCCTAAAGTGTGGTCAACTTTGAAACGGCGACCGTTTTCTCGAACCCGGTTTCTACTTTCCAGAAGAATATTTACCTGAGGTTGGACCGCTAGGTACAAAGGATGTAAAAAGGCGCCAGGAACTGCTATTTGAGAGATTTTATCTCAAACACTCTCTATTTCTTGACGCTGGTAAAATTGACTGACTACGAGCTTATTGGCCTGTGTGGTGAAAATAGCGCCACTGTGTCCAGGGTGACTTTTGCCAGCAGCAGACTTTTCCCGAGCAGGCGAACAGTGAGTTCTCGTCGATCTGGTTTGTTATTCTTCTTCTTCTGTCGTCCTGTCTTGTTGAATTCTAAGATCATGGCCTCTCGACGCATCAGCAAGTCCTCCATTGACTGGGCCAAGTTCTCCTCGGTGGTGCCCCGCAAGGAGGCGAAGAACTTTACCGCCTTCAAGGCTCGCTCGGACGCCTACTTGACCAGGTAAACAAAAAAGTGTGAACTTGAACCTCTGTGTTCTGGCGATTTTTGTGCCGGTTCTGTTGAATCATGCTCACATGTTTGTTATATCCTACTCCAGAGTTCTGTCGTACCCTGAGAACCCTCCGCAGATCAACTTTGAGGAGTACCGCAAGAAGGTGAGCAGCAAGGACGCCGTCAACCAGCTGGAGAGCGCCTACAAGGCCCTGAAGGTTACCTACCCGAAGGACACCCTCAGCCAGGAGGTGGACAAGCAGGAGGAGGAGTACAAGAAGAAGGCACTGGCGTACGTTGATGTCGCCAACGCCAAGATTGCCGAGGCTGAAAAGCTGGTAAGTCACTGTGGTGATGAAGATCACAAAATAGATCAACTCAAAGTTCTAATGAATTTAATCTTTTTTTAGCGAGAAAAGTTTGAGATCATGATCCCCTATCGCCACATGACGGCGGAAGACTTTTTCCTCACCTTCCCCGACTGGGCTCCGAACACGCTCGAGGCTCCGTCTATTCACCCGCACTACGAAAAGACGCCCGGTCTCTCCAAGGAGGAACGTGCTCGCCTCGCTGCCCCACTTGGCCGTCCCTATTCCATCTAGGCAGCAAGTGGGTAGCAGGGCCTCAGTGAATGCACCAATTTTCAGTTGCTAGTGGCCTCAAGTTTTACTACAAATGATAAAGAAATCAGTGGCAAACACATTATTAGATTGTAAAGTAATTGAAGTGATTAAAATCCAATAAAAACTACAATTTCAAATTAACAGCACTAAAGTGTACTGACCATTTTAAATTAGGTCAAGGGACTGGTTCTTTTCACGCCCACAGTTGATGTAAATAGGGACGTGGCATCCATACCTGGTCCGCATCATCATCACCTTCTTTCTCCCTCTTCACCACGTGCAGCACGCTCTCTACGAGCAGCACCAATTGTTTTCGTAACGTTTTTTGCACACGCTTTTCTTTTCTTTTCTGTTGCTGCTGGCGGCCGCAATTTTTCGCCAATCTGAACGTCATTTTAAAAGTATTTTGATTTTTCTTTCACCTTTTGAACCTGGTTTCTTGCCGGTTCCCCCTTTTTCCTCCTCATCAAGTCCCACCAAAACAGCCAAACTGCCGCCCACGACAGCGCCAATGGTCAATATGGCCTCGAGCGTGTCCGCAACGGTGCCATCAGCAATGAAAATCAGACAAGCCTGTGAAAGTGGGAAAAAGTTCGCCCAGGTATTCTACGAGAAGCTGGACAAGAGCCGGCACACCATGGGACAGCTCTTTCACGACCACGCCACACTGGTGTGGAACGGCAATGAGGTGAAGACGAAGAGCAACGTGCTGGAGTTCTACGGCAACCTTCCCACCATCGCCACGACGCTGATGTGCATCGACGCGCAGCCCATCTCCGAGAGCATCTCCGGCGAGAAGACCAGCATCCTGGTGACCTGCAACGGGCGGATGTGCTTCAACAAGCAGACCAGGTGCTTCAACGAGTCCTTCATGCTCACCGCGGAGAACAACGTCTGGAAGATCGTCTCCGACACCTATCGGAATTACTGACCATGCTGACTGGATGGTGGTGGCGGATCAAATCCATGGCCATCGCCTCCCAAACCTCACCCTGCCCTCGCCTCATCTTTTTGGCCGTACTGGTATGGATTTCTCCACTGCGGCCCAACTTTAGGAAAACACCACTTTTTATAATTATTAAATCAACTCTAATGACATGAGCAGACTGTGTAGACACACGTAATGTAATATGTAAATAACACAGATATTGCAATGTTTTTGTTGTCTTTGTACATATATTCACAGCTAAAAAGAGAAACAAACAAATCATCGTCTTCAAACAGCATGACACTGACACACCCCCCGACTCTGACTTTGTTTTCTTCTTCTTTTTGAATTATTGCTTATTGAGAAATAAGTGCAGAGTTCCAGATCATGATGATCAGTTGCGAGAGAGGGAGAGTATTGCATTTCGGGGTTTTGTTTGGTTTGGTTTGCTTGTGGCACCCACTTGGCCACTTCACTGGTGGACGCCACTGGTCCACTGGAAGCCCAGCTTCGAGGTGACAATGGAATGGCGGCGGCGCATAATCTGCCAGTACATCGCCCGCGTGTCACTCTTTACCAGGCCACTCTTGATGTAGCCCAGGTAGCAGAAGAGGTCGCAGACGGCGGCGATGCGATTGCGACAGAGGGCGGAGATGGCGTACCACCGCTTGTCCTCCGTCTGCAGCTTCATTCGGTGGCTGCAGGTGCGCGGCACCTCCAGCAGGGCGCACCTCTTCGGAAAGTGGGAGGTGTCGGCGTTTGTGGTGGAACTTCCACCGCCGACGCTCTCCACGATGAGGCAGTTATTTTCGATGCAGCGCAGCACCGCCGCCGTCAGGTCCTTGTTCTTGAAGTTGAACACCGGGTAGATCTCCTCGTCGTAGATGCGCTTCATAAAGTCCGACTTCATCGGTTCCAGCGTGGGCGCCTTCCGCCACTCGATGAACTCCTCGTAGTACAGCGGGTCAAACTCGCCAATTTCCGAGCCGTCCTCGAAGATCTGAAGCAGGTCGTCCTTCTCCTGGTTGTGGCTTTTAGAACCGGGAAGCTCTCCTCCTCTGCTGCTGCTGCCGCTGCTGCTGCCTAGCTCGTAGTTGCTCGGCGACTTTTTCACCGCCTGTTTCGCCTGCTGCTGTTGTTTGCCGTTGCCGTTGTTGTTGTTTTGATGGTCACCCGTTTGGGACGATTTACCACGAGCAGAAGACCGCTTCGGCGAGCCGCCAATCTGCGGGTGCAGATGCGGGTTGGGGCGAGAGGGCGTAGATGTTATTACTAGCAGTTTGAGGGCGTCCACTTCTGCCGTGAGCATGTCAATCTTGAGCGTCGCCTCGACGAGGTCCTTCTCAGTGCGGTCGCGCAGCACATTTGCCTGGTAGACCATTTTGTTTGCCTCCTCGAAGAGACTCGCCGTCAGGTCCTCCAGCTCTGCCTCCACCTGCGTCCGAATGCGACACATCTTCTCGACGATGTCGTTCTTCAGCGCCAGCTCCTCCTTCAGCCGCCGCAGCTCCTTCTCCATGCGAACGTAGTCGAGGCCTCGAAGGGTGGTCGAGTTTTGGTCATTAGTTTGCTGCTGTTGTTGCACGACAGAACCGTTCGAGGATGAGTGCGAAGTTGAAGTTGAGGAAGAGTTGAGGAATGGATTGGTGCTCTTTGGTGCCTCCCTCGGTGGTGGCACCGGTGCTGCCTGCTCGACCATGCACAGTCCGCCGTCCTCGGTCAGGCGCAGGCCGGTCTCCGCCTCGAGGGCGTCAAACTTGTTGGCCATTCGCACCTTGCAGTCCTTTACCAGGTCCTCGTAGTAGGCCTTGGCGGCGGTCACTGCCGCTGGAAGAGGTGCCGGTGCTGGTGAAGAAGGTTCATCTGTCGTTTCAGAGGGTTTCTCTGAGGTGGCAGTTTCCTCATCTTCTTCGGACGTTTGTCGAAGAGTGGGCGTCTCCTCCTCGGTTTCAGCCTCTTCCGAAGAAGTGGTCACTGTGGTGATCAGTTCATCGCCGTCATTGCTCTGGTCATTGCTCGTCGGCGTGCTGTCTGCTGATGAGTAAACCGATGAACTAGAGGTCTGTGACATTGACTGCTGTTCAGCTGCTCTAGTATTTTGTGACTGCTCTTTGGTCATCGCTTCGGGCTGTTTTAAATCCATGCCTGTAGAACCATGTTGTTTACGTCAAAAGAATTCGAAAAAGAACATTTAGAGGTAGCACACAATGTGAGATTTGAAGCACAGCAATTGGAGGGAATAAGTAGGAGATGAAGAATTAGCAGTGCACCTTTGGTTGCATTCTGGTTGGCTGGAATGATGTGTGATTGGCCTGTTTTTCTGTGTTTGGCATTGCTATCACCTCTGCCGACGTGCCGCCACCATTACCATCGCCATCACATCAACACACCGTTGAGCTCGGCTGAGTTGGCTTATCAGGTGATGATGGTGGTGATGGTATGCAATGTGTGATTCAGATGCAGGCTGATAAACAGTGGTGACTCGGTTGTTGCAGTGATAAGACTTGCTGGTGGTGGTGGACTCTTATGCAACGACCACATTGCCGACGATGTGCCAGCTGGAGCAGCAGGACACATCGAGTGATAAACAGCAGCAAAGTCAGCAGCAGAGTCAGCAGACTACAGTAAATAGTGCGCCGACTGAGGCGGCGGCGACAGTTCAATCATAAACACAGAGAAAAGTGTGCCAGTGACGTTGACTTTGCTTTCTTCTGCTGCTGGTGCTTGTTGGTGGCTGAGCTGTGTGTGTTGGCCAGTGCCTGGCGCTCATTAGGGTGCCATGGTAGCAGCAGCACCAGCAATTAGCGTCGATGAGGAGAAAAGTATGCAAATGAAGGAGGAGAAAGGAAGGAATAGTACAAGAGGAAGGAAAAAGGGAAGGGAAAAAGAGTGGACACTGGCCAGAACTCTGCAAAGGCTCTTCAACTCTTCAATCAGCTTCCACAGTGGTCGTTGTTGTTGTTTGTTGTTGGCCGGGAAGAAAGGAGGTGAACAACCAGCATCTGTTAGCTGTTTAATGGCCGGTGACCACGACTACCACTTCACAGTCAATCCGGTTAGGGACAGGCACCCACGCCGGACAGGAAGACACTGGCGCCAGTGATGTGAGAGAGAACTGCTAGAGGCTGCTCGCTCGGTCAATGGCACAGAGCAAAAGCTGAACTGATCTGAACTGAACTGAACTGCTGCTGCCGCCTGTTTGGGAGAGCAGCTGCAGCAGCTGCTTCGGTAGCGGTTGGCCACCACTTCCTCGACCTACTCTCTCGTGGGATCATGCGCGCCTCTGACCTTGCACTGCAGATGCTGATGCTGATGATGCTGATGTTGGCGTTGGTTGTGCTGGTTCTGCTGGACCACCAGCTTCTCAGAGGGTGGCGCCATTCAATTCAATTTAGCAGTGGCATTTTCTGTCTTGGGCACTCTCCTCTTCCTCCTCTTCCATTCACTCTCCTCGGCGCCATCCCTTTCTCCTTCTCCCTTTCCGCATTCCCACTTGATGATTAGCTGGTGGCTGGTAATTGAGCTTCTACAGTTTCATGACCGATGCAACTCAGCGGCAGCAGTGCTCTGCCCACGCATCATCCAACGAGTGCGATGAACGATCCGGGCGTGATACTGATGAGGAAAATACTGCCGACTCTGCAAAATCTGCAGGCTAACATGTGAACCGTACGGCAGCTAAAGCAGCAGCACTTTCAAATGGCCGTTGAAAAAAAATAGCCAGAGAATGCACTTGTTAAAATTTTAACCGGAATGGCGTCTGGTGGAGTTGAATGAATTGTTCATGTCCATCACTATCCACTTATCAGATCATCAACATCAGGTGGCTGATAAGGGAAATTCTTGAAAAGGGGGGAAAAGGCCTTACCAGAAGTTGAACGTACTTTCCGGGCAGGCGCCAGACCGATCAGTTTTGCAGTTTGCAGCACGGTTTGCCCGGATTTTCGGTAATTGCCGGCCTGAAACGAGGGCAACAGGCGAGTCGTCTGCAGATGTTTGCCTGAAACTGCGGGGACCGAGAGACTGTAAACTGTTTTAGGGGGGCCGAGTTTACCAGAGAAGCCAATAGGTTTGCTTTCGGCGGTTGAAGAGAGCCAATGCTGAGCATGCGTGCAGCAGCCGAATCACGGATTTGAAATGTGCGGCAGCGGCAGCGGCAGACAGTTCAGCAGACGTTAACCTGTTGTGTCAGGCGACTTGGCCGCCACTACCACTGCTGCCTCTGCTGCCTTTGCCGCTGCTGCTCTGCACTTTGTCCACTTTTTTGTGGCCGTTAAGTTTGCCTGCACGCTACTGAACTTTAGTCTCGCAACAACCCCCTCGAGCGTCGGTAGCTGCCAGAGAACGATCTGCCCGTTCTCTCTCACTCTCCTAAACATCCCAAGTGCATCCCATTCATCCGTCGTCGTCGTCGTCGTCGTTGTAGTCGCCTCTTTGTCGTGCTTCCGATTCCAAAACTGTCCTCTCCTCCGCCACTAGGCTCCTCGAAGAAGAAGCAGAAGAGATGGACAAAGCGAAGGATAAGTTTGAGCTGCCCGACATCATTATCAATCGGACTGGAAAGAAGACCTATCGAAAGGGGAAGTTCCTCGGACGGGTAAGTGTGCACGCGAGTTAAGCACCATTTCGAATCCAAGGTTTGACTGACTGGTTTTCAGGGAGGCTTCGCGAAATGCTACGAGTTCATCGACACATCCGACAATCGCTCCTATGCCTGCAAGGTCATCTCCAAGGCCCAGCTGGTCAAAGATAAACACAAGACAAAGGTACTGTCAAACCTGAGAAAAGCAGCCGTTTTCCTTTCTAACTTTCAATTCCCTTTCCCTTCAGATGAGTCTTGAGATCTCAATTCACCGAAGCGTCGATCACAAGCACATTGTAAAGTTTNATGAGAAAAGCAGCCGTTTTCCTCTCTAACTTTAAATTCCCTTTCCCTTTCAGATGAGTCTTGAGATCTCAATTCACCGAAGCGTCGATCACAAGCACATTGTAAAGTTTTACAACTTTTTCGAAGACGAAAACTTTATCTACATCATTCTCGAGATATGCGGCAAGCGGTCGATGATGGAGATGCACAAGCGCCGAAAGACCATCACCGAGCCGGAGTTGCGCTACTACGTTCGCCAGATTGCCCTCGCCTGCGTCTACCTGCACGACAACAAAATAGTGCATCGCGATCTGAAGCTGGGCAATCTCTTCCTCAATGATGACATGCACATCAAGGTGGGCGATTTTGGACTGGCCTCGAAGCTCTGCCCCGGCGAGAGGAAGAAGACACTGTGCGGCACGCCCAACTACATCGCACCCGAGGTGCTGCTCGAGGCCGGTCACGGCTACGAGGTGGACGTTTGGTCGCTGGGCTGCATCGTCTACACGCTCAGCGTCGGAAAGCCGCCCTTCGAGACGGACGAGCTGAAGAGCACCTACCGTCGCATCAAGAAGAACGACTACACCATTCCAATGCACATCAACCCGCAGCTGGCGGGCTTCATCTCCAAAATGCTCAGAGCCGATCCGACGAAGCGACCGACGATGCGCGCCATTCTCAATGATCCCTACCTCGCTGGAAACTACATACCCTCGGCACTGCCTACCTCCTGTCTGAGCATTGCACCGCGAGCCAACGAGAGCAACCGTCTTTCCATTCTGTGCGGCGACTCGCCTCGCCGTCCCTTCTCTGAGATGGCCAATCACCTGAAGAAGGAGACCATCCACGAGATGCCCAACCACGGCCTGGAGAAGGGCCCCTCTGACTTTTACCTCTCTGAGCTGCGCGAACAGGTGAACAAGCTACTGTCCTCGAATCGCCTCAAGCTGAAGATGCCCATGAGCGAGGACGAGGCGGAGCACCCGGCGGCGATGCCCTTCTTCTGGATCAGCAAGTGGGTCGACTACACGGACAAGTACGGCATTGGCTACCAACTTTGTGATAACAGCATCGGCGTGCTCTTCAACGACAACACCAAGCTCATCCTCATGCCGGATGAGATTAACTTTCACTACGTGGAGCGCAACTCGGACGAGCAGTACTACAAATACAACTCGTCGCCGGACCATCTTCTGAAGAAAACCACCCTCTTCCGCTACTTTCGCAATTACATGAACAGTCACCTGATGAAGATGGGCGAGAAGCAGAAGGCGCTGCTCGACGAGAAGGAGGAGATGGCCCGCGTGCCGCACATTAACTGCTGGATTCGCACCGGCAGTGCCATTGTCTTTCACCTCACTAACGGCACCGTTCAGGTACTGATTGCCTGCTTCATTCTTTTGTCAGATGACCTCCCATTAATCCTTTATCCGCGTTTTTTTCAGATCAACTTCTTCAAGGACCACGTGAAGCTGATCCTGTGCCCGCACATGGCTGCCGTCACCTTTGTCAATGAGCAGGGTGAGTTCAAGTCTTACAAGTTTAGCCTGCTGGAGGAGTATGGCATCAACAACGAGCTCCACCAGCGTCTCAAGTACGCCAAAGAGGTGCTCGAGCATCTGTACAAAAAGTCGGTCAGTGCCTAAAGAGGGCGGGCAGTCCTGCCATCATCACCGCCACCACCACTGCTCAAATCAGTTGCACCTACACCATTTCTACTTCTACTTCTACTCCTCACTCGAGCATTCGATTCAGGTAGAGTGGTCCTTCACACCACTCCCTTCACCGATGTCTTCCATACCCCCTTGCCATTCACCTCACTCTTTTCTCCTCTCTTATACATAATAATTACGACAACTATATTTTCATCAGTACCGATGATGAGAAGCAACAGCGTCGATGGTGCCCTCCTCCAAATTACCCCAACACAAATCGATTTTTCACTCTTTTAATTTTATAATTAAAATCATAACCAGGTGTATAAAGTATCATCAAGTTTTGTACAGCAAGTATTCTTGGAAGTGTGTGCTTGTGTAGAGAGAAAATACAGTGTGAAAGAAGGGGGTGTAATACATACATAAGTTGGGGTGGGTGGGTGTGTCCACACAACACAGCACTGCCACACCTCTGCACGGAACTCACCGAGAACATCACTGTTCTCAGGGTGGTAAGGCACACAGGCTGTCACAGTAAAATAAAAACTTTTATTCATCATTCATCCTTATTTGGTAGCTGTTCGGTTTTATATGCGGTATTTATATAGTAAAATAATTTATATCAATTAGCATCGTGAGAAGAATGGGTAGTATCGCCACATTTTTGAGGTGATAGTAGCCAGCACCTTTTGCACATGACACACTGCACATCATCATCATCATCATCCTTAGGCGGGGAGCCTCAATCTGCGGCCGTGGAGCACTGTGTGAAGAGGAAAACCGGTAATCATTAGTTGATGAAGGTTTGATGATAAAGTAAAGTGCCTAACCTCGAGTTACGTAAAGGTAGAAAAAGTCACAGTAGAGTACGGTTTGCACGACACCGGCAATGATGGCGATCCAGTCGATGAAGCTTTCAGAGTAGTAGCGCCAGATCCAGTTCAGCAGGTACAGGCCGCGGTAGGAGCCAAGGGCGAACAGGTAGTGAGCGGTGATTGTCTCAGCCTCGCCGGTCTTGGAAACCATAAAAAGCTGCGGCAGGATGGCCACTGCTTCGAGGTAAATTGAAAAGGTCCACAAAACCTAAAGGGGCCAAGTTAGTACAAGTAAACAATAAGTTTAAAAATGACCAACCTCCATGACGGTGAACTCATGGCGAATCAGAAGGGAGAGAATAGCAGCCGGGATGATGAGGAACTCCATGCGGAAGGTGTCAGCCTGGCGATCGTAGGTAACCTTAAACTTGTGGTAGATGAGGTACACCGTGCCCAGAGACGAGGCCATAAAGATGATCTACAGATAGATTCAAGGTAGTGGAGAGAACACGCTGTTAGAGATGTGGAGTAAAGCGACCGGTGCTCAAAACAAACCTTCATGAAGGTGTTGTAGAGTGAAACAAAGTTGGTAAAGAGGTCTAGGTAGCGTGTAATGTACACGAGGGAAAAGAGGATTTGCGACTTGCCGGAAACACCTAAAGAAGAAGAAACAGTTTAAAATTAGAAAAGCAAACAACAAACCATACGACAACAGAGCATACCGGAGCAGGATCGTGTTTTCCAGATTTTAAGAAGCAGAATGATGATCGCAGTCAGATGGGCGATATCACCTGTTAAACGGAAGATATTCATGTTGAGCGAGATGTGTGGCGAGTTGTCTACTCTCTTTAGCGCTTATCTTGGTGGGAAGTGAAAGGAAGCACTGGTGGAATCGACTGTTGAAGGTCTGTCGGCGTCTCTCTCTCACTCTCTTGCTTTATTGACACTTGAAGTGATGCCGCCGGGGACGCTCTTCAGTCTACTGTCTAGAGAGAAGGACCGGGTGGTCGTTGGGCGACGGCACGGCGGTACCAGCTAGTCACAGTCCACCGAGGTGACACTGAGGCGGAGGAGGTGGGCGGAGGGGCCAAAATGTGGAGGCCGAAGCAATTTGGGCGAATTCTGGCTCTCAACACTGGCTCTCGTAATGACGTGTAGGTTGACTGCAGCGCCGATTGTCTACCACCACGGCGGGCTATTTCGAGCGGGTCAGCACACGACGCGACTCTGACGCCGACGGTCGGTCGAAATGGACTGGGCGTCAGGGAAGCACCAAAAAAGTGCTTTCGCAGATGTAAGGCTCTTTGGCGGTGTGCCCTTTTCCTACCGAAAAAAGAGGGGAAAACTACGCCTGACTGCTTCTTCTTCAGAGCAAAAAACGTGTACACTTTAATGATAATTAAAACAGTTTCTAATAAGTGAATAATTACAAGCTAGACGAAAAAACAAGAACAAGTAATGCCGATGCGGTGCTCTGCAATGAGCAGAAAAAGTACACGGCATTGTGTAGCAAGCAGGCGAATCTGTTAGACATCTCCAGAGGTGTTGATGAGGGGAACAATGTCCGTCTGTTTGGTGTGCTTGTGGCGCTTCTGTTTGGCCGCCTTTCCAATCTCTGCCTCCCACTTCTTCTTGAAGAGTGTGTAGAGGCGCATGGTAGCCTGCGCGTCGGTGATCGAGTCGTGCTCGCCGTTCTGAATCTGCACGCCCAGGTACGTTTCAGCGAGCTTCTTCAGCGAGGGATTGCGGTTGTTGAAGAACTTCTTAAAGTAGTGGCAAGTGTCGCGGGTGGCCGTCTTTGGGTGGGAGAGGAAGAGCACCTTCAGGTCGTGGTGCACGGCGTGGCCGACGAGGACGCGGTTGTGGATGATTGAGAAGACCTCATTTTGCACCGTTTTGAAGTCATCGGCATTCGCCAGGTTCTCCGGTCTGATTCCCGACACGTCCGTTCGGTAGTCGGTCACCTCCTCGGTTGGCTTGACGAACTTGTCGTAGATGCAGTGGCCGTAGAGGTTGACGATGGACACTCGGGCGAGGATGGAGTTTCCGCCCTGGTACCCCGTGCCCACCATCTCGCAGTCCATCGCCACGGCACGGGTCAGCCCGTCAAATGAGGTCTCCTTGCAGAGCTTATAGGCAGTTCCAACGTGAACGCTTTTCGAATTACTGGAAGAGATCATCGACGACTGGACCAGGCACGGATCGACATCGTCGAACCAAACTTCGCCATTAGCGCTCAGAGCAGAGCTTCCACCATTGACCACTCCCTGGCTGACAGCTGGAGCGTTATTGAGAGGGAAAACCTTCTTATTTTTCTTTTTGATCATCTGCTTCTCTTGTTGGGCACTGCTGGTTTTCCTTTTCTTCTGCTCGGCCTTTTTAGCTGCAAGTTGACTCTGTAACCGCTGCCAGTTGGATGAAACGCCGCCTTTTGGATCGACTGGATTCTTTTTGATGTTTGGCTTTTTTGCAGTTTTTGGCTTTTTTGCTACTATCGCCTTTGTTGTTGCAGTTGTTGCCTTTGTGGTAGCGGCTGATGCGGCTGTGGTTGTTGATTGCTGTTGTTGTAGTGGTGGATCTTTTAATTTGCCGTCGGAGTGCCTCTTTCTGTTCCTTCCAGTCGACGTGGATTTTTGCTCTCCGTTGCTCACCTGGGGCTTCTGCTTACTGGCCGCAGTAGACTTGGGTTGAATCATCTTTAAGTTCATGTTGGCAGTTGTTGATCAGTACAGTTTCGAACTCCACCAAAACACAGAAACAAAATATCACAATTTGTGTTTGGATGCTGCTGCAGCAGCTTCAAGACCACGTGAATACTTTTTCACTGCAAAGGGTCACACACAAAGGTAGGACACATAGGTTGAGAAAGCAGTAAGTCACGCAACGTTGATGCGTCTTAATTTACAACACTTTCTTTATTCACTTTCAGAGATAATTATTATCAGATGTGTAAAAGTATATATAAAAGGTAAATAATTTAAATTAACAATACTAATAAATACAAAATTGGTGATGTCATGCGTATGGTTAATCTGGGGTGCAAAGGTGCGGTGCTGTGGTTCCTCCAATACTAGCACGCGCGGTTAATTTTATATCAACAGTACTGACAGAGATAATAAATGGGTTGTTGAGTTGGGCAATCAGTTAACTGGCTGCATGTTTGCCTGGTTGATGTTCGACTGGGAGGCCTTGAAGAGCAACTCCCTAAGGTGGGCATTCTGAAGCTTCAGATTGTAGATCAGATCGGCTTGGTTCTCCAGCAGGTCTTCGAGGAAGGATGATGATCTATTGGGTGAAAGGAGAAAGCTCATGATTAAACAAGTATTCTCAAAAGAAAATCCCTTGATCAGCTTACCTGATGGCCACCTGATTGAGACCGTCCGAAGTGAGGCGACCCGATGGGTCGTCGACGCAAAAGACGTCGGGAGGATTTCTAAAGCGCCTAAACTTCAACTCATGATAAAAGTGAATCACATTGTTGATCAAAACCAAAAAGTAGGCGATCGAGATGATCAACTCGGCGCAGTGAATCGGCCTAATGTGGAAGCTCTTCACGTGCAGGTCGCTGATGTTGAGACCGTTGAGAAGGACCGTGGCCAGCAGGAGGAAGGCATTGGCGTGGTGCAGCACAAAGCTGGGAAAGAGCACAAACTTCTTGATGCGATCGTGGTGGTTGTTGTAGCCGAGGATGCGCAACCGCTTGTAGTAGACGTCCTTGAAGTAGCACCGAATCGCCAGCGTTATCAGCCAGACGACCAGATGACAGTACACGGTCAGGTTGTACGAACTGAGCAGAGATGGCTTATCGCTCTGACGGAGGGAGAAACTGTTCTGCTTGATGGGAAAGACAAAGCTGAGGATCCAGTTTACGATCTGAAAGGCAAATATTTGAGAAATTAATTGAGCAAATGTAAGACTAGAAAGAAAAACGGCAGTACATACAATGATCGCTATGTGAAAAAGAAGCAGGACGAAGACCTTGACGTTATTGGTCTTGTTGTAGATGGTGTAGAGGTCATTATTGTAGGGCAGCGTCAGTATCTGCAGATCGTCGTCCATCGTTTCCAGTGGTCAGTGTGGACTGACTCGATATATCAAAAATACAGAGGAAGAAGTGGAGATCACAGTGAAAGCAATTGAACACTAAAGGGGACAGAGTAGGAAAGAAGCGTTGTGACCATTTCCTGGTGAGAGGGGGAGGAGAGGAGGCTTGAGAGGGTTCAGGTAGGAGCAGCAGCAGCAAATGCGTTTACAGTAGTAACAGGTAGAGAACAATAACAACAAAGGTGAGCTGAGCTCAACTCTCAACGGACAACCAAAACAGAAGCGCAGCGTAACGACGAAAACACAGACTCATCGACGGTAGCGACATCTGTGGCGTCAGCATCAACGGCTGTTTTGGATACAGAGAAGCAGATCTTCGCACTTTCTCTCACACCTGTTTTACGGTTAACCGGTTTTTTGGATCGCCGATCGACGCCGCAGGATCGACCAGTCGTGCCGCTCTCAAGATGAAGTGCTCTGATGAATGGGCACTGGTGTCACTTTCTTTTCAAGGGCAAGGCGAGCGAAGAAGATAGCAGAGTGCTGGGGTAAGTTTGTCTGTTGACAAAGTGATTGCCGCCGATGCTATTGCTGTTCTGCACTCTACTGATGCTGTGGATATTCATTTCAGATAAGCACTGACGAAGTAGCTGAAGATGCTACAGCTGTTGCTGGTCAGCATCACTTGACTGGAAATCCCTTCGCTATCAACAGCTGACCAGCCGGTACACCAGTGATCACCATGGTCCTTTGTTTACCAATACGATTACGAAAAAGGCAAGGCAGCTGATGCCCGCAAAAATTGCACCACTCGTCAAAGTAGGACAAGTGGCGCGGGGTGTGTTACTCGGGTGTTAGCATAGCAAGACTCACTGGGTAGATCACTGTCCGGCTGCTTCCCCGGGATGTGGACGGTAAAGGGGGCCAGACGGCGACAGGCCGCTCCACTATCCCCTGCCCCGGTCTGCCAACGGTACGCTCGCTACTGGCCACTTCCTTTAATTGTCTCAAACTGCCGAGCCGCACTGCCACTGCCATTGATTGCCCATCAGCGGCCATCAACTCCACTTCAAAGTCTCTATACAGTGACTTGATCTGCAAACTCTTTTAGCCTACAAATGACTGTTCAATTGGCGTGGCAGAACTGTGCGCTGATTGCACTCGCCTTGAACAGACGATTTTCATCATTTGATAATACATTAATCAATTTCCGGTTAAGAAGAGAACAAAATCATTGAAAAAGGAAATGATGTCGGTGGCGACTCTGTTGGTTTGTCCTTGACCGTGGAATGACACTGTTGCTGCTGCTGCTGTGTTTGCCTTGTGATCACCAGCGAGGAGAGGGCACTTGTGGCTGGCTGACACTTGGCGCCAAAGCGTCTGATGCACCAAAGCAGAGAAGAAAATGGTAGAGCCATCTTTCTCTTTTTCTCTTTCTTTTCTGTAGTTGCCATCCTTTCTCCTTTGCTGTGACGCAGCTGAGATTGTGGTTGGATGTTATCCTCTCTGGTGGTTAGTCTTGTACGGCAGCAACAGTGTATCGCCTGAGCAGGCGTCCTGCAATGCTTCCATCGATGTCTGCATGTTCTGTGTTGTGTGTTGTGTGTTGTGCTCTTCACTGCAGTCATGTGGCTCCCCATGCCAGTGCCTCTGCCTCAACCTCGTCGTAACATTATCATCGTCTGTGTCAGAAGTGCGAGAAGGCATTTGGAGGAGAAGACAGTGGTTGTAGAGTGAGCATTGGTGCTCTGTTCCTTCCACTGCTGTTTTCTGCTGCCTACTAGAAGTAGAAGTAACTCCTGATAATACTGCTCTGCTGGTTTGCTAGTGAGTGACTGAGTGAGAAGACTCCGACTGTGTCGCCTGCCTGCCAGTGCCATCCATTGCCAGTGCTCCACCGATGAAGATGATGCTCATGCGGTGTGTGTGTTGCAAGCATCAGCATCAGCAGCATCGGCCGCTAAGTAGCTAAGCTGGTCTCGCACAGTTGTAAGGCCACAACACACACTCAGCTCAGTTCGAAAAGAGCTACTTTCTTAGCAGTTCCTCTCAGTCCTCGTCTCAGTCGTCATCTGCGCCATCTTGGCTGCTTGTCGCCGTCTTCTTCTTCTTCACTACCTCCTCAATAATAATCATTTTTGGCTGCAGTTTGTGTGCTGCATTTTCTTATGTTATTAGTGTTATTGCATGCACCTATCCTCTCTTCATCACACAACACTCCTCTACTCTTTTTCTTTCTCTCTTCTGTAAGCTGTGAACCACCAACACTACCGCCGCTGCCAGCAGCAGGAACTGCACTCTCTGTCTCTCTCTGTTTGCTCTCTTTGATCATCAGCCGCCGTCCAAGCAATTCACGTGTGTTGCCCCCTCCCCCTCTTTCTCTCTTTTTGTCAAACCAAAACAAGCCACCGCCACAGAGTTGGAGTTCTCTCTTCCGCTCTTTCTCTTTCTCTTTTTTCGCACCCCTCCACCTCCACCTCCACATTCGATCTCTCAACTTTTTGTGCCCATCATCGTCGGATATTCTCTTCACCAAAACTACTTTGCCACTATCATCATCATCAACATCTGCTCGGTTCGGTCAGTCATTGTTGGCGCTGTTGCCAAGTGTCTTTCACTCTTTTGGGTGCCTAGTGTGTGTTCATTTTGCATCAGCACCACTTCCGTTTCCCTTTAAATGTCATTTCGATCACTGGTCAGTGCGTGAGTGAGTGAGTGATCTAGTGCTGCCTGCCTCATTCTCACTGCATGCCTGCTGATCTGCTGGTCTGCTGGTGCACCGTCTCTCGTGATCTGGTCCTCTCTCTCTCTCTCTCTCTCACCAGTTTTAGCTGCAGTGTAACCAGTCCCACTACCATCTCCATCTCCATTGCTATCACCAGCACTAGCCGCATCACTTCCACCGTCGAATGATTAGATAAAGGTGTCATTTACTGGCACCTATTCACCATCATCACCAGCACCATTGCCATCGCCGTCGCCATCCTCCTCACCTCACATTGGCACATTTTCTGGTGGCCACTCTCGTGAGCCGCTTTAGTGTGTAGTGTGGTAACTTCGCACTCACACCAGCAATCTGAACTGAATGTGAATAAGTGTGCGATAAGGTGCCAGTATTATCTCGATATTTATTTTCTGCTTCACTTTCGATAGTCTGCTCTTGAGAGTGTGAGCTCGCATCAGCAGCACCTAATTTTTAGTAGCCCCTCTTTTTTCTCTCACTTGATCATACTCGCTGCCGCAACATTACCTCAATCAACTTCATTCAGCTCTAAGGTGCTCTGGTGACAATGATGGCTGCAGACAGTGTGTCAGACATTTCGTTCTCTCTCTAGTTTTTTGCACCACTAGTTGGCATCTACTACGGCCAATGTCGGTGCACCAACTCGTGTCGATCTGACTGACTGACTGAGTAAGAGTGTGAGCACTGCTGGTGACGCGGCATGATTAGGATTAGACAATTTTGCTGCTGTTGCTGCTGCGACTGGCAAATGGAAGCTTCACCAGCGGAGGCTCTATCACTGCTTAATTTTGGTCTTGTCTCTCTCGGTGTTCAAGGCTCATCTCAAGTGGAAGCAGATTTTGTCTGACTGCCTCTTCCACTTCATCTCTATGACTCCATCCTTCTACGATTTATTTACATGCCACACAT